TATATTATACAATTAAAAAGCAATTTCTATGACAGAAAAAGAATAAAATTATTTTTTAAAAGTGATTGGACGTTAAAAAGTATTCAAAATACCTTATTGAAWACTTAAAAAAAAAATTATTTAAAATTATTCCSAATACAGAATTCACAAAGACTATCTATACGAGTATAGTATTTTATGTAACATAGTTTATGGACTTAGAATAATGAATACACATTATTTGAAAAGTGTATTAATTTGTTCTAATCACAGCAACTTTATAGTTTATTTTATACATTTTATAATTTGAGGCTGGATACATTTCATAAAATTTGAATTCAGCATGACGTATCTTAAAATTAGTAATGACATTAAAATGTTTTAAATTTAAATTCAACGATAATAACCATTATATATACAAAAACGGAAAAAAAAATTCATCGACAATAAATGAAAAAAAAAATCTAAAATCTCTCATAAATATAAAATAATAAAATAAATATTTCGTTAAAATCTCAAGTATCATCAGTTCAGCATGTTCAACCAATGTACTTTGGACTTCTAGCACTTAAAAAATAATGTGAATTTCAAGTTTACCTATTTGTTATAAATAAAAAATCATAAAAAGAACCTTGTATTAAATTTTAAAATCGTAAATATAAATCATTTTTATGAATTTTTAACTTTAAATTGTTCTAAGAAATTCAATATACCCAAGTGTTTTCGATAGTTTTTAGTTAATGTATGAAAACTGTATATAGTTATATTAAATTTTCATACTTTTTTATAGTGCGAAAACATTTTTTATTGACATTTATAGAAAAAAAATTTCAAATTTCAAATTTCAAATCTCTATGAATGGTTCAAAAGGCGTTAATATATTTTGAAATTTTAATTATGTACAATGTACAGACAATACAATCGGTAAGGCGTTTGTTCGTTTTTGAATAAAAAAATTATCTAAAATTGCGGTAGATTCAATGAGTTGGAGACGTCAAAATGTTCATAAAAATATTTAAYTTTATAGATTTATAATWTAAATTCACCTTGGGTACATAGCTATATGTAGAAGTTAAACCGACAGCTACCGAGTTGATGAGAAAAATAAGGGCAACATACAACGTCATAGAATTACATTAGTATGCGCAATAATAAGTAACCAAATATAATATACGTTAAATTTAAAAGTATTATTATAATGTATAATGGATTTCGACCATTTCGTATAGGTACACCGAGTCACCATCGCATGTGCTTATAGGAAATAAACCGATACGAGTCCATTGAAATATAATAATTAATTTTATTTACTCCTTAAACGAATATATTAATTGATGAGATACATAATTATTATTGKTTTGGTATTATCTGCTTACGTGGTTTATCAGCGGCTACCGGTATTGCTAGAAAGATTCCGCAATTAAGCATCGCCAGGCACGTGAAGGCAGTAATCGTCTTTTTAGCGACCAACATTTCAGTGATACTTTTTATTTCGTTTCCTCTCGTTTGTCGTCGATGTCTTCTATGGTGCTGGTTGGTTGTGTTGTTGACGTATATTTACCAATATATAATGTCTTCGTTGCCAATACAATACCACGTATCTCAAAATGTAAATTTTTCACAAGGCACAAAAAACTAAATAAAATTAATATTAATAATGGATATATTATGTGATAATGTTTCTGTTCCTCAAACACTTGTGTATGTGTGTGTGTCACGTACGCATTAGCATCGACCACATTTTTTAAACTTATTATTATTACACAACACGGTCGTTACAATAATTCATTAAATAAACTTTGTCGATCAGTTACCTAATAATTTGTCTAGTGTTTTATTTTGTTGATTAAACAATAACACAACAGTTTCAATGTTTATATTCTATTTAAATTTTGTGAATTTTACATGATGGTATTTACACTAAACCATGTGRTTGTTTTTCTGAAAAATTTGATATATAKCACTCATTATTGATTTTATTTGAAGATACGAGGTATTTGTTTTTGCAACGACGATATTATTGTTGAATATTTATTTTTATTAATATTTGTATCGCGTAAATTTAGATAATGTAACGATATTAGATAAATTACGGTTACACTGTTGTTTGTATTTTATTATAAATATAATATCGATTTTAATTAATATATTATCGAGTGTGCTGCGGAAAGAGACGAACAGTTGCGCGTCGGCGAATGATCGACAGTCGACGTCGAAAACGCGTCTTTTAAGGGTAATTCGCGAGGTGTAATTATAATTATTATTGTTGTTACTGTTTTAAAATTATGCACTGTTGCGTGGCGGAGTAGGGGGTGATTAAACATACCGGGCGTTTGCTGATTGGTGGGTACCGAAGGCGACGACGAGCGTAAATAATATGCAAGTTGTTTGCGAAGCGGAACGAAAAAAACCATTCGAATAGGATATGTTTGCATGATGTCTAAAATCTAATGTCCATACACCAGAATGGTAGCGACAGTAACATATAAAGTCACATAATATAGTGATTTAGGATTATTTGAGAGGTTTGAGATCTTTTCCAACCACTCAACGGAATACCGCACATTATGAACAAGAGTTCTAATTTAGAGGTAATTTAAGGTATTGCGATTAGAACTTCTCAATCATAATCGTAATACCTACTACGCGTTTTTTCTGTATTTTAATTTCTCTCATTTACGGTCAAGTAACATGTTACTAATTTGTTTTCTGCACACTTCAATATAACAAGTATAAGTATCGTTTGCTTACTTTTTATGTACAATAGAAGGTGATRTTTTGGTTTACATTTTTTAATAATTATACCACGTTTACTCAGAATCACTTAACTAATACCTATACATCAGCTAGGTACCTGTTAAAAAAAAAAATTAATATGTAGCACAATAAATGTTTTTTTAAGTCTTTTAATAACATTTATTATCGTATCTATAAACGGTATTATAATATTGTTGATAAAGTTTATGAACAAAAATGTATGTATTATCAAATACCTCTCGCTTGATAAGCCCTTGCAGGCATACGTTATGACTCACGAGACGTAACTCATACTCAATATTGTCTCGTCGTGCTGGTCCCTGTTATTAACTCTTTTCCAATTAATTTGTTGGAAATGTTATTTTAAATATGCTTTTCTGCATTAGATTTAGAGGTTACTTGTGCTATTATAAATTAATGCCAGCCGTAATTGTTAGATCAACTGAACAGAAAAAGTTTATAAATAAATACATTTTAGTTTTCATACGATGTATGCAAATATATTTTAAAAATTCGATGTAATAAATATGACCACTTTTAATGTTTTAAGGTTTAGTCATTTAGCTGGTAAAATGTTCACGGCAGTAATGCGAAAGCAATTCCCACAGCGTAGACGGTTCAATCAGAAAAAAAAATAATAAAAAAGAATGAAACATCTTGTGGAACTCATTTGGTTTGATTTTATATTATTAATTATTATGGTATAGGTACAAAATACTCGTATATTTGCATGATAATATTTGTCACGTGAATTTATTTCAAATGCGTAAAAACCTATAACTTAATCATGATTTACGTAAATATCTAGTTCAAAACATCACTCAGAATAGAACAATTTTTAGTCTCAACATTTCAAAACTATAATAATTATTAAAATATATTTGAAACATTTCCTTTGGATTTTTTTAGTGTTTCATTAATGCCTACTTAATTAAGTCTATGTACAACCACTTCGACCTTAGGTACACAACAACTCTATGTTGTTATTATGAAATTCCATTAACGTCATCTACAATTTATAATAATTATATATTAAATGTAGACAACATCCAAAAAATTCAGAAACATAATTAGGTATGTAAATATATTTATTTGTAGGATAGGTGAAGCTCAACAATTTGTATTCCGTTACCCTTTTTTTTCTTTTGCTAGCAGCTGAAAAAGTACATATGTCGAAAATATCCCACAACCGTTAATACTTTATGTTATATTATATGTGTAATAAAAATTTAACVAGTCTCATGGTATACCTAAGTATTTTGAAAAACTCACAACTCTGGAGGTTCTGGGTTTAAAGACAACTCGATAATCGAATGTTTATTCGAGTCTTAGAGTATAGTCACGGATCCAATCAAATATCGGTCAGCATGCGATATTGGTCTATAGTGTTATATCGGATATGATTTTGTCAAATAATTATCAATTAATAGTTTTGTTTAACACAATTTTAATGTTTTCTGTATCTCATCTATACAGATATGCGGAGTGCAGTTTAATCGACACAAGAAATTTGTACATCCAAGGACTACGTACGTCACGCAATAAAGTTTATGATCAAGGTTTAAGACTACTATAAAACGACTATTAATAGTGTAAACACAGTAATATTATAAATCCGGTTTGTTCCTAATTAAACACATGCCTGACCTTATATGAAAAAAGCGATTTTTTTCGTAACTGCCCATCAACAGAAATAACGTGAAAAGCACTAGGTATACGCTTAGGTACGCACTACACACACACATACAGATGGTAAATCGTCTTCGTCCATATTTATATGTACTAATTTAACTACGTTTTATTTTTTCCTCGTAATTTCTGAATATTGTTTGTTAGTATTCCATCGTAGTTTCGCCTTGTACGTTTAATATGTCTTTTAGTACTGACATAGCCATGCAAAGTTCAGGAATTAATGTGTGTGCTAATTTACGACATAGTTTAATTCGAATGTTTGTGTGCAAATGTATATAATTAGTAATAATCATACATTTATATACGCTTGCAATCAGATAAATTCACAACTGTGTCTGACGCATCTCCGTCGTACCTATACGATTGCGTATCCGCAAGTAGAAAGRAAACTTAAACGCCAATTCAATTATAATTGAATATATAATATCTTAAAATTGAATATCATATACTCTATGATCAAATATTCTATTAGTTTTTTTTTTCAAAATAAGAAATAAATTTTAATGCCTATTGCCTATATGTATTACACTATTTATTTAAAATAGTAGGTATAAAAATTAGAAAATATATTTGTGAATCATTTCAATCATAGATCATTATAAATTTTCTAAACTTAAGTCACATTTGTATGTAGTAGAACAAAACACAATTTGATTAGATAAATGTGTTTACGTAGGTAACAGAGAGCAAAATAAATAAAAGCCATACAATAACAGATAGGTTGTTAATATTTTCAACGCTAAAATAGGCACAATAATTCGTTTCAAACAATTTACAAAATTACCTAATTATCTCATTTTGTTTTCAAAAATTTGGTGTAGAATCGTTTTTACGGTTGAAATTATAAATACTTATAGTAGTTGAAGTGAGATTWATGGGTAGCATAACAATTCGAGGTTGAATATAGCAATAATTAAAACCATGCGGTTTTTGRGTGTAGTTTTAAACAAATATTGTAAACTTATTTTGGATTATTAGATATTTTACATTTGCAGAATATACTGTTATACAGACTACAAAATTATAAAAACGATATATTTTTTTATCATATTAAGTTCAAAACGTATACACAATTATTAATAAATTAATATAAAAGAAAGAACTGATGATGAGTTATTATAAAAACTTWAAAAAAACTGTTTTAAAGTTATGTCTTATGTGCATAGTTTTCTCTCAATATATTGGGAATCAATATCTATAAAGTATAATAGCAGTATCTATTGAACTTATTACAGGTGTAATTTTTTAAATTATCTTACAAATCTTTGAGAATATTTAAACAATTTACTTAAAAACTAATTTAGTTTGTATGCTTAAAGGTCGAATTTTTGCCATTGCACTGYACGATAGTTTATTCAAATAATCTGGAATTTAAAAGTCTAATTATTACTTTTCAAAATATTTTAGTTTTACAGCCTCAAAATTAAGATATTAGATAATTTACCAAACAATCCATTCAATTAGCAATTACAATTGATTTCCATGGGTTATGTGATTTTAATATTTTCTACGTAAAGCTATTAAAAACTTGAATCACATCATTTTAGTGTGCTTCTTTTTTCACTGTTTAGTTTTTATACTCTTTAAACTGCTTAAATTTGGTTTCAATTGTATATCGGTAGGTACAAGATTTTCTTGGATATTAGATTATTATTACCTAGTAGGTCATAACAATCTCGTAATTTGCTTTATTTTTTAATAGTGTATTTAGATATTTATAACAATCTCTTATCAAAAKAACGTAAATATTAAAAGCGTTTAACAAAAATCCCAACTTTAAAAAAAAAAAAATAAAAACTCTTTTAAACAATAAATTAATAATTTTGTTATAATTGTAACACAATTGCACTATATAAAACAAAATATAGTTATTATAGAACGATATAGACGTATACAATACACCCATAGTAATTATCGTTTTTCATGGCACAACACTTAAAGATAAATAAATAGGAATACAACAGTTTTCGCAAACGGATGGTTAAAAAATAATTATTCTGCGACATATATATAATAATAAGTTTTATTTTTAGTAAAATTACTAACCGTTACTATAAAAATTAAGATTTAATAAATACAACGATGAATTTTAATGGCAACTTTATAATAGGAGGATTAGTTAAGGGATTATTGGTCCATATCGTCCATGTTCTTTCAATAAAATCAAAAACTCCTATAAATAAAAAATTTTAAAAATTATCAAGCTAAAATTCATACTTATTCATCTAACATTTAGCGAAATAATTAATGTAACTAAATTAAAATACTGCACAAATATTTCATAACTCTATATGACGAAATTTTAAATACATTTATAAAAATTATCATTGAAATAAATAACTTTGTGTAAATGAGATGAAAAAACAGTTCTTACTAGATATATTACACGAATTAATGTTGTATGCAGTATCTAAATTTATATTTATATTGAAAAGTATTAGAAATACAGTCAAATTCAAAAATAAATCATATATATTATAATATATCAAACTATTATCAACATATATGTATCAATGTTCCATGGACTGTTTTAAATAAACTTAAATTAATCGAAATATATTGAAATCTTCGTTGTGTAAAATATAAGTTATACCATTTGTACGTAGAAGCAAGGTACACTTTATCACACAGTACCTACCTTGTTAATTTTTTTCAATTCTGTTAGTGAAACATTWAACTAGACTAATGAATCATAAATTCCTAACACTTATAATTTTATAACTAATGTGTTTTGAACATGCGCAATACAACTTCATTA